AGTATTTTGGACGATTCCGGATTTCAAAATATTGTAAATCCAATTAAGTGTGCAATAGAAGAAAAGAATAAACAGAAATTCTCTATTTCGTCAGAATCTATACAAAAAAAAGTATTTGAAGAATCTGACAGAATAAGACAAGAAATTTCTGAAGATATACATAATGTTTTAATTTCATTAAAAGTCGATGCCGTTACGCGATTAGATAGATCATTTCTTGGAGTAAATATTCAATACATTAAAGAAACAAAAATTATTTTAAGAACTCTAGCATTAAAGGAACTAAAAGAGAGACATACAGGTAATCAACATTATGAATATTATGATTATATTTAATAATAATTAATAATATATATAATACACATTACACACACGCGCGCGCGCATATGTATTTTTTATAAAATATATATATATATATTTTTTGTTTTTTTCTAGGTGAATATTTAAAAACTATTATTAAAAATATATGTTTTTCGTTCAACATATCTTTGGATCAAATATATACAATAACAACTGATAACGGCGCCAATATGTTAAAAGCAGTAAAGATATTAGCTTCAGATGAAGATTATGACAACGACACTTTAGAACAAAATGAAAATATCGATTGTGATAAATCTTCAGAAAAAAGTGAAGAAAATAACGAATATGAAATTGATAACAATGATAACATAAATATTTTCGAGAATATTGAAACTATTGAAAATGATGATATAAATTCTCATTTTGAAAACAATATTTTAACTTTAACAGGTAAAGAACTTTTAAATTAATATTTGTATTACTTTTAATTATTTGAAAATATTTATACAATAGTTTGTTTTTTTCTATTTATATCACTAATAATTTGAAATTTGTAATCTATAATTTTATCAAAATTTTTTATCTTTTAATGGAAGATAAATATAAATGTTATACATATATTATGTGCATAATATTATATACTGAATATTACATACTAAACAAATTTAATTTGATTTTTTCTATACTTTAAAAAATACATAAAACATAATATTTTATTTACAATATATAATTAAATAAAATCTAATAATCTCATAATAATAATGTAGTCAATGTATTGAAAAATACTTTACATAAAAAATTTTAGGTATTAGATGTGCAGCTCACACATTACAATTAGCAGTTAACGATGCCTTAAGAGGAATGAAAACTATATCGCAGTTAATTTCGAAAGCTAGAAATTTAGCAAAAAAACTCAGAACTCAAACATTTATATATTTAATAAAAAAACAAAACTTAAAGAAGCCTACAATTGATTGTCTAACTCGATGGTGTTCGACAATAGATATGCTTGAAAATTTGTTACTACTAAAAGATTATTGTGAAGAGCTATCTGTAACAAAATTTCAAAATTTCGTAACATTACAAGATGCTGAATGGTCAAAAATTGAAGAAATCTGTACAGCATTGCGACCGTCAAAAATTTGTACCAAAAAGCTACAGACAGAACAATTGACTCTCAGTGAATTTTTTGGACTTTGGTTTGAAACAAAAGTAGCAACAGAGGCAATACAAACTCCTTTTGCTACAGTCATTGTAGAACAAATGATATATCGCGAACAAAAGTTAATAAATAATGACATATTATTATCCGCAGTTTATATGGATCCTCGATACAAAGTATTATTAGACAATACGCAAATACAAAGAGTTAAAACACATTTGAAACATCTTTGGATTAAAATAATATCATTAAATCGTAAAGACATTTCAATGAATGAATCAAACGAAAATTTAAATGGAAGTTCTTCAAATTCAAGCGGAACAAGTTCCACATTTGATGAATTCGAAAATCTTTTGAAGCTAAAAGAACGGCAACATAATGTAACAAATTCATATTCATCGTCATCTACAGAATCGGATTTATATCTTCTATATCGAGTAGAAAGTGAACTTGAAAGATATAATACTGAACAAAAAAGACTTAATAGAAAAATTAATGTGTTACAATTTTGGGAAGAAAAGAAACAAAATCAACCTGAATTATATAAATTAGCAATGACTGTTCTAGCCGTACCTGCCACTCAAGTTAGTGTAGAACGACTATTCTCAGGACTGAAATTTATTTTATCTCCATTACGAACAAACATCAATGAAAATATCTTAGAAAACCAGTTACTTGTTAGAGCTAATAGAATATTTTACTGTAAAGAAGAAACGTAAGTTATTTTTTTCATATTTGTTAATATTATATAAAATATTACGTAAATATATATACACAAAAATAATATTTATTTTCTTGTTTTGTAACTTAAATATGTCAGGAAATCACATACGAAAGAGTGATTATTACGAAGAGAGATTGTCCATGCTCAGAGCGGTTTCTTTTACATCGCAATTGCTGATATCATAAAGATCCACAATCAAAATGGGTTGTGCAATGGGAGTGATCAAGTACCTGCTCTTTATATTTAAATTCAAAGGCTTTTGACACGCAACAACAATCTTCGTTTTATTACTGCATTCCGAATTCATCAATGTATTCATTTATAAAATAAGATAGAACCATAGAACATTTATGATTTACAACCGGATAAATTAATTTTTTTTTCTTTTGTTAAACGAAATTTTTTCTTTTTTAAACCAGAATGTCTCCTTATGTTTTTTGATTCTTTGTGTCACCAATTTCTTTGCATTCGTGATTAAAGTAAAAAGATGTTTTTTCAATGAAATGACGTACTTCTGTTTATCAATTACAAAAATTTAATACTATGTGAATTCTATATGTTTATTGTTTACTGTCTTTATACAACAATTCACTTTGTTTGTACAACATACAGTATATATATTGTCTACAAATATACATATATTTTATCTTATAAAAAAAATGTAATTTATGTAAGAGTTCCCGTCGATGTGCCCATGCACGGTAAATAAACTGACATGCGTATAACCGCAAAAAACCGTTAAAAAACCGTAATTATTTACGGTTTCGGTTTTGTTCACTAGTCGAGAACGGAGAAACCGAAACTGAAACCGGAACACTTATTTTATTGTACCGGAACCAGAACCGAACTGAAAAAACCTTTCGGTCCGGGTCCCTGAAATAAAGAGGTCCACGGGATTCACCTGTGAGAATTATAACTAGAAGATTGTATACATGTTGTTGATTCAGGTAACCCGAGATTGTAAAAAAGGCTTTATGGACATGCATATGCATGATG